AGCTTGCTACAACTTCTGGGGGCTACAGGAAGCGCAAGCTTGGCAAGGATGACCAAGAAATACCACACTCCTTTACATTTGTGAGACGAGATTGCAGCAAGGGACAAATTACACATTGGTTGTTTTCTATTTGTTTTTTCAATTGCCACAAGAACCTGTTCACAGCAAAGTCTCGCTGTGTGGGAGCAAAGGTATGCCCGGCAATCTCATCCAGCAGGCGTCCAATCACCTTCCACGTCGCTTTGCAGAATCGCCCAATGACATATTTCTACTCACAAAGACATATGTGAGTGATACCTCTTTATGCCAAGAACCTCTCCTTGTTTGGCCAGGGGCTGAGGCACAAGCTTGCTCTGATACTCTACGCCGCATTGCTAGGAATCAAGTTCCAGGATCCTTGAATGGTAAATAGAGCCTTTTGTTTATGATCACCATCCCTGAAAAAGCACATAGATGTCCAACCACCCAGTGACCTGAAATTATCCAAGCGTCGGCTGAGGAGTTGCCGTGTACATTGATGATGCCCGCAAGGAAGTGCTGATGGAGATCGCTTCATTCCTGCACGAGAACTACACCACCAAGTTTGCAAGGGGTGTTGCATATTTGGAGCGACTGGCTGGTCACAGGGCTTTTGTGAGAGAGACTCCACCCACACTCAATGGTTTGCTGATGCTTGTGAACAGGGTAGGTGTACAAAGGGGATCTGTAGTGTTTGGGAACCCAGCTCCCCATACAGTACATCGTATGCGGGTGACCTTCCACCGAGGATAGGTCAACAGTGGTTGCGCAAAGGAAAACTCACAGCTGCAAGCATTTGCTTTTTGTGTTGTCACACCGCTGTGGTGCTTGATGTTTCTTGCAAATGGTCATTCCTTAATGCTGTCATCCTTTGATGTTCTTTATAGTTATTCGCCCAACCTTGAACTGTTCCGCGACAAACTTTCAACAGATCAGCCAAGACGCCTCCAGCAACTCCAGCTGCCATGGCGGAGCCAGTCAAAATGCCACCGGAAGTTCCTTGGCTTCGTTGTCAAAAGTGAACCATGTGTTTCAAAACCCAAACGTGAATGACAAAGGCTGATGGATCTGATGGAGAAGAAGATCATACACCACCGACGACTCTGAAGCAGAAAATCATGCAAAGAATTGAAGAGGCAGTATTGTTTTTTGAACACATCACTCACAAACATCCTTTGGATTGAGCGCTGAATGATTGCGTTTCTTTGCTCAGATCTCATCCAAGCAGAATATCGGGGCATGGCTGTGGGAAACCTATGGTTCCATGGATGGCCAAGCAAATCTCATGAGTGCTTCTTGGCATGAAACTCCATGCAAACAAACAAGGGTGACTGCAGTGTAACCAAATGTAACTCAGGCCATGGGAGCGATCTTTGACAACAAAGCTGTCTCCAAGCATATGGACACACAAGAAGTTCTTCGATCGATCCCAGGCGCAAGCAAGAAAGGCTTCTACCTGGCACCGTGGCACTTCGACTTCAGTGAGGGTGCCAAGTTTGGCCACACAGGAAAGTGGCCTAGCAACCTTCAATTCAAAGCTCATGCACCGAGCTTTCTGGAGCATGGACTAGAATCTCACCGAGAAGCTGTTGAAGTGAAGGATGAGGTTCATCCGATGCAACTACAAGAAGCATGACTCCCAGGAATATTTCCTCTATGAATCTCTGTGTGGGGTGCCCAAACTGCCAAACTTGTGATCTGTCTTTCCCTTCGCGTTTCTCTTGCTTTTTGTCCAACCTGCCCTGCCCAGGCCTTGCAAACAGAACGGCTGAGAAGGTGAAGCCGTCGGCATTGGACTTGTTGCTCCTGTTCAAGGAGTCGGTGCGCATCAAGCAGGCAAGTGCTGGAGGTTCACGGACGTTGTCCATCCGTGATACTTTGGGAGTTTGTGTACAAGAATATAACAAGCAAGTGGGGCAGCACAGGGAAACTTGTCAACATTTAATGTTTGCTTAAAACGCTGAAGGCAAGACTTTCAAAGGTATTGAGTCTTAGCATCAACTGCATCTGACTCTGAGGCTTGGCGGGTGAACGATTCCCTTCGCCGTCTCATATACAATTTGCTGCGATGTCCCGCCGGACTGTGGGACATATTGAAAAAATGCTATGACGATGTGAAGCCAAAACATGCAGGAACCATGGGCAACTTGTGCTAAACTAGACGTCAGTACCAAAGGATTGCAAAGGGATGTCCAATAGATTTGAGTTTTGAATTCTTCAAAACAGGTTGATACTTTTCTTGCTGATTCAACCCTGCCAGCACTGAATCTGGAGAATTTGGATGGAGACTATTATGTCCCTGGCACCCAGCTCGATTCAAGTGACACTGTATGGAGGGAAATTCAGGCCCAAGAAACATGAAGTGATGTTCTTTCAGTATGACTTCAACACTTTTAACAAATTCCCTTTGTCCTCGGTCGTGCACGCCAGACTGTGACCGAAAGCGCAGTCATCGAATGGGCTCTACGGGCCTGCGTAGACTTCGACCGGCACATTGCCAAGGGTGCCACTGTGAAGCAAAAGGCTGGAATTTGAACAAACCTGTGCACTTCAACTTGCAAATGTTACCTTAGCCTTTTTGCCTTCACTGATGTTTGACTGGAACCTTGCCCAGAAGATGGCACAGCGTGACCTCTCTCAGGTGCAAGAGCTTCTGCAAATCACATGCCTGATGACTTGGCTTGCTCCAAAACTTGAAAGTCTTCTGGGAGGTGGGCCTGCCTTGGAAAAGATCAAGGATATGTGGTCTTTGGGGTGCCTCGGATTGAAAAACGAAGTGCAGGCAATGTTAAAAACCATGTATTTTTCAGACCTTGGCAACATCTTCCAAACATACTGTGGTTTTCAAATTCCGCTGTACTATGGCCTTTACAAAATTGAAGTCATGATTTTTTGGCTCTTTCCAAGCTGGCTAGAAAATCGCTACATATCCAAGACAATTGATTTTGTACTGTGGAATTCAAATTCCGCAGTACTTTTCACCACTTAACCAAAAGGCTCCAAAATACATGGGTTTGTTGATTTTTTGATCGAGAACCCAGATTGGAAAATCTGGCCATCAGTACGGTGGTTTGTAAAAACCGCAGTACTCATCCCGGGTCAACAAAAAAAACCGCAGTACTCATCCCCGGT